TTCTTCCCAGCTTAAAGAAACAGAGTTTCAAAGTCATCTGGCTTGCTGCCTAAGTACACCTACAGCTTTTGACTCTTAAGTGGGTGACGGCCACAGCAGAAACTTAGAACCTTCACAGCTGGGCAACAAGGGAGCATCTGCTGCTGCTCTGTCCCGGGAAAGGGACCTAGACTGTGCAGGACAGGAGGTGGTAACGGGTGTGCACTTTCGCTCAACATCAGTTTTTCCTGGCATACAGGCGACGGTCAGTCTGGATAATGCATGATCTCTCCATGTTTGCACAACTTTCTCTGCTCTCCAGAGCAGTAAAGCGTTGTAAAGGCTAACACACTAACACAATTCCTTTCTTTAAAATGTGTGTATGTATGTGTGCCTGAGTGTATTATGAGCTTGCAGGAACACACTGAGGTCAGAAGAGGGCATCCAATCCCAGAGAACTGGAGATAAAAGCAATTGTGTGTCACCATGTGTGTGCCGGGAATCATAACCCAGTCCTGTGCAAGAATGAAAAGTGCTCTTAATACTAAGCCATCACTCTTGCCCCAGTTCTTTTAAATGTAAGGAAAACAGTGGCAGTCGCCTCCATAAGTCAGTTTCAGTTATGGTATGTGATGTCTTAGGGCTGACAGTACAGAGTACAGGTTTTCAAACCCACACTGTAGCTGCCTTAGCTGTCTGAAATTAGGGCCATTAGAGAATGTAACTGTCTCTTCCCTTGTAAAAATAGGAAAAGTTTCGTAGATAAAATAATGTCCATCAAATTCTTAACATAGTGCTCCATGAGGGACACAAGTGTTCAATGGATGAAACTCAAAATCACTATTCATTATTTGCTAAGGATATTATTTTTAAATTCTTAAATTTCTCTTCAAGCTTTTGTACATGTATATATTTGGATGTTGAGCCTGTTCCTTCTACCCTCCCCTTGCTTACATCTTTTGTCTCCTATTGGTCACCTTTATCACCCTAAGGAAACTATTTTTGTCTGTGTAGAAAGATCATCCGAGACACTGGAATTCAAAAGTTTGTTATTCAGGCTGGCGAGGTGGTCAGTGGGTGGAGGTGCCGGTGTGCAGACCCGAGGACCTGAGTTTCCGTCCTGATCCCAGGAAGGGGCAGAAGTGAACTGACTCCTGAGAGCTGTCCTCTGACCTCCACGTGTGTTGCAGAGGCGTGTGCATGCACACACACACACACACACACACACACACAAATACATGTTTACGTTTTTTTTATTTGATTGGATCCTCCCAGATCCTCACCACCTCACTCACCCAACCTCGTGTTCTTTCTCTCTTTCTTAAATTCTTAAAAAGTTATTACACTGATAATACACCATTTTGTAATGAGGAAAAAATGCTCTGATGTGTCTGTGTCTGCTTAATTTAAGGTCCCTGTGATTACGTTGATATTACAACAAATAGAGGTGCTATAGTTAAGTTCTAAGAACCCCTGCCCCCCCCCAAAAAACTCCTATGTATTGAAGGTTTGATTCCCAGTTCATGATGAGTTGGAAGGTGGCTGAACCAGAAAGAGGAACCTACTAGAAGAAAGCAGAACATCGGAGTGTGTTTTTGAAAGGGGTGTTGGAAGGTAGACCCTGTCCTATCTCTGTCTTTGCTTCCCACTGTAGTGAAAACAGCGAAAGTTGTGGCTCCTCCATCCCCGCCCCCATAGGTTTGGCCACAAGCCCCAAACCAAGAGACCGGGGACCCAAACCTTTGAGACAATCCTTCCCTGCTTACAAACTGTCTCTAGAACTTCGAGGGTAAACGAACGCTATAGTCTCTGGATTGTGCAATCTGCTCCTCAAATCATTGAGGGCTCTTTCTACATCCTACAAAAGAGAGAAGACAGGTTTTGCTTTATGGTTTGCCTTTGACTACCACCTTTACCTGTCTGAGGGCTAATAGTATTAGTTTATGCCTGCACATTTTCAAGACATATTAAAGTATTAAATAGGCGTTCAGATGCCCTCAAGTGTTCCAAATCCCATTAGACAGAGAGTATTGGGTGCAGCTTTAAGTTTCCGGTTTAAACTTTTGCTTTTGCTTCTAAAGATAATGCCTAGCACACCAGGCAAAACTGAAAGCTGCAGGCTGTTTGGAGAGTTTTCGTTTCCCCTACTCCAGCCTCTTGTCTCACGGCTTCCTAAGCAACCACTTCCTGAAATGCAAACACACGCGTGCGCTTGCACACACCACCCCATATCAGACACATCTTCAGTTCGTCCCCAGGGACCGGCTCTCACGGTAGAGAAACTAGCTTCGCCAACTTCTAGTCTCTCTACGGTGGCCCCTTTCTGCTTTTCTTCCAGCGACGTGATTCTCTGTGGCTTTCCTGAGCCCGCTCGCCCAGTCCTTAGCAAGAATCTGCGAAACCGCTGCTAGCAGAGCGGACGCGAAGCAGGTGTCCGGCGCCATCGGAGGGCCAGTCGCGTGGGAGCCGCTTGTCCCCGCAGCGCATCCCAGGTGACTCCGGCTCCCCTGGACCGAGGCGTTGAGAAGTACCTTAGAAACCGCACCACCCGTCAGCTGGCTACAAAACAAAGAGTCCTTTCAGCGGCTTCAGATGCTAGTTCGTCGCCATGGCAACCGACCTCCGCCAGCCTCCTCCCTCCTCCCCTCCGCCCGGCGCCCCGCAGCTGCGTGGGTGGAGGCGCCGCTTTGTCCCCGGGAGCCCGCTTTATTTCCCGCCTTTGTGGTGGACTGGAGAGGAGTCACCCCCGGGAATTCACTGTAGAAATCCCAAGTTTCTTTTCAACTGTCCGGGTTGGTTCGAGAAAAGTCCGTTCCCTCAGGCCCCGCAGCGCCACCTTCCGTGGCGAAGAGCTCACTGCCCAGTCCGCCGCTGCGCAAAAGTAACAGGGGTCTGGCTATTGTCACTATTCTAGTGGCGCTCAACATTTCAGCAGCTAGAGCTTTCTTGGCTGAAAAAGACAGGCTGGTTATGTAAACAATCAGGACGTGTTTTCTGTTTTCCTCCCCCAGACGCTTCTTATTTTAAATGATTATGTACTTTCAAACATTTTCTATTAACTTTGATGAGTTCCTCAATATTTACGTTCTCTTTTCTATGGAGGACCTTTTTATTATTATATTAAAACTTTAAGGAGCCAGAAAACAATCTTTGACTGCCGTGTGAATTTGGAAGTTTAGGGGTCCTTTAGAACCACGAGACTATATGCTGTCTGAGGAATTCTAAAATGGGGACCAATGGGACGGACTTACAAGATCTGTCCGGAAATTAAAAAAAAAAAAAAGTACAGCCTGAGAGCAAAAGATCAAGAGAGAGAAGGCAGAACAGTGTGCCGAGAAAAATAGGCTGGGGTCCTTGTGCAGAGGCATATAGCACTACATACAATGAGTTGTACGAAGTCACATTTCAGGTCCGCGGGAGTGGTCATAGATTGCTCACGCTGTGCTTCATACAGGAAGACGCTGGAAGAAGAATGTGAGGTAGCTGCATCACGATGCATTGAGTCGATTTTTAATGAAATTTGAAAACCACTGTCAAATGATTAAAAAAAAAAGGCCATCTGAAACACGCAGGGAATACGGAGTGAGCCAAACACAGACAAGAAGTCCGGTGGGTGACTGACAGAGGGAAGTCTGCTCTTCACTGGCAAATAAAAACAAAACAAAACAAAACAAAAAACCACATTTGATGAACAGGAAGCAGCCGGGTCTGGCACACTGCAGAGTTTGCAAAGCAGAGGTTTGGGTTTCCCTTCTGAGGGCCATCGTTATCTAAATAACTACTTAGAAAATAGTATATTACTTGAAAACTTTGGGGGAGGTCCAAGCTGTTTTCTTCCCTCAGGAAAAATTTTTATTTGATGAATATTTCTTCTCTAATTTCAGATGGGAGTTACAATGTCACAAATTGCTCTTTTAATTTTTTAGTTTTGAAATTATTTTTTTTAAATTTGTTTTTACAATCTCCCTTCTCCCTCCTCCCGGCCCGCAGGGTGGATAGAGCAAGCTTTATAGCCCAAGCCTTTAATCCCAGGACTCGGGAGGCAGAGAGAAGCAGTTTTGAGTTCAAGGCTAGCCAGCTACCCAGAGAAACTCTGTCTCAAAAAGAAAACAAAACAAAAAGGAAATCTTTTTTTGCATGTGTGAAGTATGTGTTTGTGTTTGTGCGTGGAAGCCTTTGTAGGGGTCAAAAGACAACCTTGTTCGAGAAGCGGCCTCTTTATTTTATTTTATTTTATTTTATTTTATTTTTGTTGTTTGTTTGCTACTGCCGGAGACTTTCTGGAGACGTGTCTGAATTGGCACTGACATCATCGCCACAACTTGTCAATTTATCATACAATGTGCCCAGCATTACTGCAAGCCCTTTTCACACCTCATCTTACCGAATGCCTTATTTTAGTATAACTGAAGGTACATCTTTCCTCTGACTTCTGCTTCACACCTTTCCGAGTCTCAGTGACCCCGAACACTTTAATGTCCTTTCAATCAAAGGCCTGTAAAACACCTTTATTTGTCGATCAGGGAGGGAAGTGAGATTCTGAAAGGAGAAGGGTAGGTTTCTGTCTCTCCTCGTCTCCTCCCTCCCCAACCCCCCCTCCCCCTTTTCTGACTGGCCTGAAACTCCCCGGTGTAGCTCAGCCTGGCCTCGAACTCTCAGATAACACCTGCTGGCGTCCTGACTGCTGGGTTAAAGACCTGTACGACGCCCGTCCGCAGACGCTTTTTAAGTGCACCTGTGTAACGGAGGGTAGTCATGATTGGTTATCTATGACACATTAAGTTAGGTAAGTCGTAAGCCGGGAATTATTCTACCCTTCCAGTCACTTTCTAGCTTCCTGGAGGCCCCTTGTGACTGGATGGCCGACCATCTTCATCTTCCAATCAGAGCTTAGAATCACAGGGTTATACCAATTGAAGGTTGCCGGACCTTCAACGAAGGCCAATCGGATGCTAGAACCTAGCAAGCCATCAGCGATCAATCAGAGCTCCGGAGCGGCGGACAGGGAGCGGTTGGCCAATCAGCGGGCGAGCGGCGAAGAAGGGGCGGGGCCTTCGCGCAAGATGCAGTGCACAGCGCAACTGCGCTGCGGGAGCCAGAGAGGAGCCTGAGACCTGGTCCAAGCTGGTAGGTAGGGCTGAGAGCCGGTGAGAAGGGCCGGGTTGGGCGTCGCCGGGAAGAGGTACGGGAGGAGTCGCGAGCTGCAGACACTGTTGCCATGGCAACACAGGTGCGCAGTTCTGTGACCAGGGTCTTTGCTTCTGGACAGTTTTCAGTCTGGAGCCCCTAGGCCCAAAGGGCCTCCGATACCCCAGGCGTGCAGGATGCTAGGCTGCCAGGCTGCCACCTCTCCGCTCCCTGCCTTGGCAGCCTGCACACCTGCGGTCCGTACTCTCCCCCGGGCACTGGGAAAACAAGCTTTAGCAATGGGACCACTTGTGCTAGCTCTCAGTCCCTTCGCCTCAAGGCCACCCCTGGGGTGCAGCGCAGCTGCCTCATCCTGGAGCCTGTCACTGTAGACAAACTGGGGTGTCTCCAGAGATTTTTTTTTAAGTAAGTCACCCAACGAAGTGCTTTGTGCACAAACAATTCCGAGACTAGAGTCAGAGTAAATAAGTAAAGGTCACAGTGGCAAAGATTCCAGGGTCCAACTCTGCCCAGTAGAAATAGAAAGCATGTCATGTGTGCCGTTTCGTATAGGAACCATGGTAGGGTAACAATAAATTAAAATTTGATATATTTTATTTAAGCATATTACCAGTATTAGATTAATGGTAAGATATTTAAAATTGTATTTTTTTTTTCCTCACCCAAACCCTCCCAATTATTCCCTTGTGTATCTTAACAGTTCATGCCAGTTCCACCAGTCACATTTCATGTCCTCAGTGTCCATTTAGGTAGTGGCTACCATCTTTGCTTAGTTTTTTTTTTTTCTTATTATTTTTGAGGCAGGATCTTGCTATGTAAGCTCTTGTTACGTAATGACCCCGGGCTGGCCTCAAACTTGGGATCATCCTGTCTCAGCCCCCAAGCAATACAGTACAGGCGGGCATTGAACTACTATGCTGGGTAAAGTGGTATTTAAAACGAAATTACGTGTATTTGTGTGTGTCCGTGCAGACAGCATGTAGTCGGTTCTCTTTGTCGCCTTGCACGTCTCAGGGAATTGAATTTGTGTTGTTAGGTTTAGTAGCAAGCCTCACCTGCTGAGCCAACTCCCAAGCCTGAAACTTGTGTTTTTAGTGGATATAATCCAGGCAATCTAAAGATAACTGAAAATATACAACGGGAAAGCAAGATGACTGATAGATAGTGTTAGGGATTCCAGGGAAGAGCCCTCTGGGCTCCTGTAGTAGCAGGTGTGTCCAGCCCATGGCCTGCAGGGCACACGTGGCCCAGGACGCTACGGATGTTGTGTAAGCACCATTCCAACACCAGCGTGTAAACTCACTTCAAACATTAGGAGATTTATTTTTCCTGTTGCGTTTTATAGCTCAGTTGTATGATTCTTGAGAATATGCTTTGTGGGTGACCACATCATGTTGCGGTGTCAAAAGGTTGGGCGAGCCTGTGAGGGGAGGACTTGAGCCTGGTCTGGGGAAGAGGGTAAAGTCTTGGACCAGTGGAAAATATGAGCGTTTTTAGTTCAGTGAAACTGAACTGAGCCTCTTCTTTCTTTTTCAGAGTTGAAAATTGGCCTGATCCAGAGGTTTGTGGGCGGAAAAGGTGTTCCTCTCCCACCAGCAAGCTCCACCATGATTCACAGTCTTTTCTTGATCAACTCCTCCGGAGACATTTTCCTGGAGAAACACTGGAAAAGTGTGGTCAGTCGCTCTGTTTGTGATTACTTTTTTGAGGCCCAGGAGAGGGCCACAGAAGCCGAAAACGTACCTCCCGTTATCCCCACGCCGCACCACTACCTCTTGAGTGTCTACCGACACAAGATCTTTTTTGTGGCCGTGATTCAGACAGAGGTCCCGCCTCTGTTTGTCATTGAATTCCTTCACCGAGTGGTGGACACGTTTCAGGTTTGTAAATGTGGTAAGGTTTATTTATATATAAACTATAAACCATAAAAGAGCTTCCCCCACAGCCCCTTTGATAGGCTCTCGTTCTGTAGCCCAGGCTGGCCTGAGCTATATAGCCCAGGCTAAGCTCATGTTTGCAGCTGTCCTCCTGCCTCAGCCTTTTGGATGCGGGATTACAGGCATAAGCCACCATACCATCTTGCAGAGTATTTTCGTGGTCCTGTCTTCATTGTTTATAGCTTTGGTTAAGAGCATTTTTAAAAAATCAAAACTGAACGTTGCTCATTTCCTGTCTGATCTAAGATTCCTGTTTCTGTTTCTTAGTTGGCTGCAAAGGGACCGATTGGATGCTTCTAAGCCTCTTCTGTGGGAGTGTGTGGTGGTTTTAGGTTTGCTCCTACATTTTGCTCACAAATTAGGGTTAAGATTTTTTTTTTAATACTGTGATGTTTATGCTAACCATTGTTAGCTACATTGCTTTGAGTTGTAGCCAAAAGCGATGAGCGTAAAGTTTTCTAAAAAAGACAAACAGGAAAGCTAAGTTTATTTTAGCTGTGCCTGACAGGGGTGAGTTCTGCCTTCATTTTGAGTGAGCTGAATACAGTAGCATGTGCGCTGGTATGACTTCTTACAGGGCTCCATTCTTGTGTGAATGTTTTGGACACCATGGTCTTTGTTTTGATTTGTAGCTCTAAGGCTGTGGGTTGTGACCCCTTTAGGCATCATGTATAAGAAAGATACCCTGTGTATCAGATATTTACATTACGATTCATAACAGTAACAAAATTACATTTATGACTTAGCAATAAAAATCATGTTTTGTTTTGGGGGTCACCACAACATGTATTAAAGGGTCAAGGTTGAGAACCACCGCTCTGAGGGAACAAGGTAGGGGGAGGTGAGTCATATCAACATGGAAGTACCACTGCGCACAGATTCTGGATCCAGACAGCACAGTCTTTATCCTGATGCCCACTCAACTTTACCGTGTGGCTATGTGCATTACTTGGGTGCACAATTAGGATCAGGGCTCTTTGGTTTGACTTCTGTGCCTTGTGAGGTCTGGAGGTAGCCACAGGTAGACACGGATTGTGGAGTTAGGAAAGGGGAGGAGCATATGATTGACAGCGGCAGAGCAAGTCTGTTCTGTCTGAGGTGCTCACTCCCACTCCACATGACCGGAACTGTTTTCATTGGTAAGAGAATTAAAATATACTTTTGCCTCCAAATACTGTTTTGGAATTCTAATCCCCACACTGCATGCTAGTGACTTTGCCGAGTGAAAACCTAAGATTGCAAACCCAGAATATGGAGGAAACAGAAGAATCCAGTAGTTAAGTTGTTCGACTAGTCTACCTGGGCCCTGATGTGATTTCTGTGTACCTTACCCATACACACGTTAACAGTCTTATTGTCATACTAGTTACTGTATAAACCAGGAAGTGAGAAAAGTTGTCTACTTAAAACCATGGAGGTGGAGACTTGAGAAATGGCTCATCAGTTAAAAACACTAGCTGATTGGGGGTGGGGGGGCACACCTTTAATCTTAGCACTCAGAAGGCAGAGACAGGTGGATCTCTGTGAGTTTGAGGTCAACCTGGTCTGCAAAGCAGATGCCAGGACACCCAGGACTGTTACACAAAGAAACCCTGTCTCTAAAAACCACACACACACACACACACACACACACACACACACACACAGCAAAGTGAAAAAGAAATAACTTTTTTTCAGAGGGCCCAGGTTTGATTGCCAGCACCCACATACTGGCTTACAGCTGTCTGTAACTTCAGCTCCGGGTGATCTGACGCCCTCTTCTGGCCCCTGTGGACACTGCATGAACATCATGCATAGACAGATAATACCTGTACACATAAAAGAAAAATTAGCAACAACAAAAAATTAAAACCACAGAGGGGTTTGGGAGGGTAGAAGAAAAATCAGTGTCGAAGCCAATGGTAAAAGTGGGCCAGGGTGGAGCTCAGTGTCCAGCTTAATGTCTGTCCTCTGGAGACAGTTTTCCCTCGTTCTTGAAGACAGTGGAGTCCCTGCGGCAGAAGCGCAACTGCTTTTGCTGTGACGCCTTGTGTTGTAGGGCTCCTTCCATCCACATAATGTTTGATTCACAGAACCCCCTGACATGAGTGCTTGTTTTTAAACTAAAGTCACTCTTGGGAAAGAAATGTGGTGTTTTCTTCCGGTCATGCTTTCGTGTTTGTTTTAGGAGTACATCCTTTATTCTTAGTGACTGTGTCTTGAACCCTTCCTGATACTCGTTGTCGGCTGTAGTTTAGATTACATACCATAGAATCGGTTTAGTGGCCAGGTGGTGGGGTTATCTGAGGCTCGGCCCATTGCTCAAGCCGTGAAGGTCCTCAGGAGTGTGACCTGGGGAGGAAGGAGTGAAGTGCGTGTCTGCAGACAGCTTCGTGTAGAAGAATGAGGAGGCCGACCGCAGCTCGGCAGTCAGAACTGTGCTCTGGTGAACAGGATGTCTCAGCTGCGCACTCCCCCCACTCAGTGAGCTGTACCCCATCTTAGAGGCCCTGTGAGAGCCGGGCCTGGCACTTTGAGAAGCGTGCATCCACTGAACACACACCTGAAGCGTACATACATCGACTGAACACACACCTAAAGCACACATCGACTGAGCACACACCTGAAGCACACATCTATCGACTGAGCACACACCTGAAGCACACATCGACTGAGCACACACCTGAAGCACACATCTATCGACTGAGCACACACCTGAAGCACACATCGACTGAGCACACACCTGTGAAACATACAGTGACTGAATACACACCTGAAACATACATTGACTGAACACATTACCTGAAACATAACATCTACTGAACACGTACCTTTCTGCCCTAGTCACTGTCACCATCATACTTGCCATATATGGCATTCACAACTTTCTCGCGCATCCACATAGCGGTACCCGCATTATACTGTTAAATCAAGACCTAAGTAAGTTGACGAGTGACAAGATGATAGCCCAGGAGTCCCTAGGCTTGGTCCAGAGCACTGAAAAGAGAGGAAATGAGAAGAGTGTAATCTACGTCTTCGGTGCTTCAGATAATTTGGATGTGAGGTCAGCCCTTTAAGTCAATGACAGACTTCTGAGAATCCCAACCCCAGGGTCGCTCTGCGCAGGCCTTCTGCAGGGCTAGCACAGCTCTCCTCTTCATCCTTTTTATGAATGAATTTCAAGAAAGTGCACAGCAGAAGGATTAAAGGTTTTGTGTATACTTCTGCGTTATGCCATCCATTACCACTTTACATAGTCCATAACTTTTGTAGATGAGCATATCTAGTCTAGGTTAAGGTTTTTTTTATATTTTATCAAGTGAGGAAATCAATGCAAAGAGCTTGACTTCCCCTGGTTTGTAGATGAAACTCCCCACATCACGGGTACTGTAAGACTGTCCTGGGCTGTTACCCCCGAGCCCAGGAGAACGACGGCTCTGCCTGGTTCTCTCCTGGGAAAATGTCCTGGATACACTGGTTAGACAACATGGACAGGCGAGACCTCCCTCTCAGGAATATTGTTTTATTTTCTCCTACAGCCCGGGTGATGAATACATTTGTTTTGTCTTCACTAGGACTATTTTGGAGTCTGTTCAGAGCCAGTAATCAAAGACAATGTGGTTGTGGTCTACGAGGTATTGGAAGAGATGCTGGACAATGGCTTCCCCTTGGCTACTGAGTCCAACATCCTCAAAGAACTGATAAAGCCCCCCACCATTCTCCGGACGGTGGTCAACACCATCACAGGTGAGAGCGGTTTGTGGGTGTGGGTGGAACTGCAGGGGGATGGTGCTCCCCTAAAGCCCTGGCATCTCCGAATCCTTGAGAATCTCATTTTACCTTTTGTGTGTTGTGAGTCTACCCTAAATTATAGTCGTATGTGGAAAATACTTCAATTTTTATGTGGCTCCAGGTGGTAGAGCACTTAATATGTAATCCCAGTTCTGGGGGAAAAAAAGCTTATTTAACAGATTTTTATCCCGATTAAAGGGAAAAATATGTAGTATGGAAACCTCAGAAACACAGAGAAACACAAGAAGAACAAGAAAATCTCCAACTTCACCTATTTTTAAATATATATATATATGTATATATATACACACATATATGGTATGTGTATGTATGTATATTTCTCTCTTCTAGACAGATGAATGATGAGTAGATAGAATACATTCTAATGTAAATTTTATGTGTATTAAATTTGTTTTGCCTGTGTGAATGTCTCTGCACCTCTTGTGTGTGCTCTTGTGTGTTCCCTGGGGAGGCCAGAAGAGGGCATCTAATCCCCCGAAACTGGAGTTGCAGACAGTTGTGAGGTGCCATGTGGGTGCTGGAAATTGAACCCCTATCCTTTGTAAGAGCAGCCAGTGCTCTTAACTGAACCATCTTCAGCACTCAGATAGTAAATAATGTGTATTTTTTCAATCATGCCTCTTAATAATGTTTTATGAACATCTAATTGTGATATTCTGACATGATTGTTATGACTCGTGTTCTACGTTAGATGGACCCTGACATATTTGTCTAGCCCCTATTTATGATGTTCCTGTTTTTTTTTTTTAACCTTTCAAACACAAAGGATTCTTATGTTTGAGTCTTGTCTCCTCAGTTCTGGAAATGCGGGCGCCAAGCTGGGGGGTTTTAGAGATTGCCACACAGCAGAACAGAAAAGTCATGGCAGCCCTTGCTTCTTCCCATTGCGGCTTCGATCCACTGTCATCTCGATTCTCTGCTAACTTTGGGGGATGTGAGCCACTAGATACACACTCAGTTGCTGTTACTGAGGAAGGTTTCAGACCAGCTGCGGGAATAGGGCAGGATCTGGCTGCACCAGCTGCAGGGGTAGGGCAGGATCTGGCTGCTTTCTCATTTGTTCAGTGTTGGAATAAGGCAGATCCTGTTGATGTAAACACTTCCCCCTTCCATTACTGTGCCTGAGAACCTGCCTTAAACTAGAATCCTGTTTCCCTGATGGTGACGTTGTGTCTGTGTGTAGGTGCCCAGCCCTACAGACACAGTACCGTGTCTAAGCTGTTGTGGAATTTGAGATCCGTCAGTTCTTGTTAGTCTCCAAACCAAAATATGATATCCGCTTCTCAGGTGGCTTCCTTTAAACCTGCCCTCGAGGCAGCAGACCAGATGGCAACAGTGGATTTTAAAATTAGACCAGACTGTCCTACATAGGAGACGTGAAAGGCTTATCTTCCAACTGGTGTCTCATGAGTAACAAAGGCCATGGAAACTTTGAGGGGAATGTCCCTAGGTTGTTAGATTAGAGTTGGCATCAAAATACCGATTTGATTTTGGTCACCTGTGTTAATTGTTAATTGTCTCAGGAAGCACCAATGTGGGGGACCAGCTTCCGACGGGGCAGCTTTCGGTGGTGCCTTGGCGACGGACGGGGGTGAAGTATACCAACAACGAGGCCTACTTCGATGTGGTTGAGGAGATAGATGCCATCATCGACAAGTCAGGTGGGTGCCGTGAAGTGTCTGAGTGCAGAGAGAGGGCTGCTTTCCTTAAGTGTATGGGATGACGCAGCCGAGTCTCTCACACAGAGGGGCCGCTTTCCTTGAGTGTATGGGATGATGCTCACACATAGTCTCTCACACTCAGCCTTTTGTGGAGCTTCTCTTGAAGGAGAAAGATGAGTTGTGGGGCAGAGGATTACGGCGAGGCTCAAGGTGGGGGAGGGGGACGCCGAGTAACAAGGCCGAGCATGGCAGTGCATACCCATCACTGAGGCAGGAAGATTAAGAAGATTAAGATTTCCAGACCTTTTGGAGCAATGCAGCCAGAGGCTGTTTCAAGAGACCAAGAAAGAAATGGGGGTGGGGGAGAGAAATACAATGTGAGCTCTTGTTGGTTAGATCTTCTATTTGAAAGTATTAGGTTCCCAGGTCTGGAGGCAGAACTAGTCACAATGACGAGGCTCTTTCCTGTTGTTTGTAAAGGGAAGCAGGAGTATGGGGGCTGAGGACTTGGGAGTGCGTCACATTCTCGCACTCACGCACCCACAGACTGGTGCAGGGGATTGACCATGTTAACACCACGTGACGGACACAGGCTGTTGGTCTGTGGCTGTGGAAAGGTGGGTACCGGTGAAGAAAGTGCATGCAGATGGGCCTTTGTGCAGAGGCAACTGCTCAGTAAGCAGAGTGAACTGACCATGTCCTCAGCGCTGCAGCCGGGCTCACAGAAAACCAGCTGGATTGAGGAGCATGAGAAGATCGCAAATAATGAGACCTTAAACTAGGGCATCGCAGCATGTGTGCATAGTAACACAGACAAGAAGCAACCGTCCACTAACAACAGCAACAAGGATCAATAAGGCTTGGTGGAGTCACCGAGTGGAGTAAAAAAAGAAAAAAGTAAATTACTGATCCACCCATTAACCCTGTCTCTTACTCTGTTGAGAAAAAAAAGTCAGACACATGTTAACATTTATAGTAATTTCATTTAGAGACACCTCAAAGCAGGTGCACTTTAAGGCAGTAGAACTTAGAATTAGAGGGGGGGGTGTCATCAGGTAGGAAGGACAAGGAGGCACAGGCTGTCCTGTTGGAAGGTTTCCACATTTGATGTAGGTGGTATTTAGTTGTATCCATGTTCAAAAATGCACTGAACTCTAAGGTTTTTACATCTTGATATTTTATATCGCTGCATTTTTTTTAAAGTTGACAATAGGGAGAAGGTTCAGCGGTTAGAGCCTTGGGTGATCCTCTGCTGGGTTCAGTTCCCAAAACTGACCTGGTGGCTTTCATCTGTCTATAGCTCTAGTCCCAGACGATCCGATGCCCCCTTCTGGCCACTGTCGGCACCGTGCACAAACATACAAGCAGGCAGCCCACCCATACACATAGGATAAAAATACAGGGAAAGTATTTTTTTTTTTAGTTTTTTTATTAGAGTGGCAATCTATGTCAGGCTTGATGGCACATACCTTTAATTCCAGTACTCTAGGGCGGCAGAGGCAGGTGGATCTCAGTGAATTCGAGGCCAGCCTGATCTAGATTGTGAGTTCCAGGCCAGTCAAGGCTAGATAATGAGAACCCATCTTTAAAAAACAAACAAATAAAAAAAAATACAATGGCCCATCGTGTTGCAGTGTGGGAGGTTGATACAGTGAGGTGGACCGGAGGCAGCAGCAACATTAGGAGGCACTGCCTGAAGTCCCGGCTCAAATTTATAGGTGAATTAATGTTCCTGGAGAGAGAGGGGCCAGTTCCCAGACAGAGGTGTGCACCTGCTGTCCCAGCACTAGGAGGCTGAGGCAGAAACAGCAAGTGTGAGGCCTGCCTGAACTACAAGAAATAGTATTTAACAAACACGGCAAGAGGAGAGGTGGGAGGAGGCCACGTGTACCTGGCTCAGGCAGGAGATGGAGAGTGGCCAGCACAAGGGACAGAAATGGGAGCCATCAGGGAATCAAAGCGAATTTGCTGTTGTCAACAAGATTGCAGCATTGATAACACCTCCGTCAGCAGTGAGGCTGAGCCTGGAAATGCATTCTGACACAGAACCTGCACAGGTGCCAGAAGACAGGGTCCCAGTGCGTCGCAAAGCCTGTAGAGGTGCAGCCAGGCAGGGTCCCAATGTGGCACAGGGCCTGCACAGGTGCCAACCAGACAGAGCCCCAGTGCTGAGATGGGAAGTGGGCATGGGCTGCCTACCACCCCTTACCAGAAGCTATCTGCACCTGACAGTGACTTACAAAGGAAAAATTAGCCTTCTCCAATGGAGTCTTACTGGGGATATTAACCACACTTAAGGACAGACTCTGTCCAACAGTAGATGGCCGGCACAAAATGAATTCAGTAGTGTTTTTGTTAACTTTTTGTCTCATATAACTTCGTTTGAGCGTGTTTTGTTTTATTGGACTTTGCTTGCCTATTTTGGTTTCCCATTTTGTGGTTTTGTGGGGAGGGTTGTTTATAGTTTGGTTATTAGTTTTTTAAAGAAAGGGGGCATAGAGTTGGGTGGGTAGAATCCGGGAGGAGTTAAAAGACGGAAAAACATGATCAGAATATATTGTGTGGAAACAATTTTTCCAATTAAAAAAAAAACAAATGAAAACAATCAGGTGTGATGGAGACAGAAGCCTTGGGGAAGGCCGAGTACACGTGTGGTATGTTAGAACATGCAGAGACCTGCAGGTGCTGAGGAAGAAGAGCTAGGGACAGAAGGGGAGGCGAGGGGAGGGAGGGAGGGGGAGGGAGAGAGGGAGGGAGGGAATGAAGAAGAGAGGATTGTCTGTAGCGGGAGAAGACGGAAGAGGTGTGTACAGAGACCTGTAGATGAGGACCATGGCCCCCCTGCGATGGTGGCTGGGCTCCCAGGGAGCAGCTCCTGCTAACGGATCTTCAGAAGCACGGTTAATGCTGGAGCTCTGCGACTCTGGCCCTAGATGGAAAACCCTTCTAGGCTCCTAATCTCTCACTGGTCTCTGTCTCCACGCTTTCATCAGAGTTCTTAGACTTGAGCTTGGATGATGGGTGGTCAAACAGAAGAGAGGCAGGCGGGCAGGCGGGAGGGAGGACAGAGAGAGATGATGGATAAATGAACTGGGTGGCTAGATGGAAGAGAGAGGCAGGCGGGTGGGTGGGCAGGAGGGAGGACACAGAGAGAAGCAGGAAGGACAAGCAGGAGGGACACAGCTTCTGTGGTCTGTCTCCAGTATTCCTTCCCTTTTCCCCTTAGGTTCCACGGTCACTGCTGAGATCCAGGGAGTGATTGACGCCTGCGTTAAGCTGACCGGGATGCCAGACCTCACTCTGTCCTTCATGGTAACGTCCAGAGCCGTTGTTAACCCTGTTGGCTGGGGAAATGAGATGTTTCTGGAGAGCAGGGAGAACAGAATAGCACAGGCAGTAATCAGGGTGGTTATCAAGTCTACACCGGGCTTTGGATGCTCAGTGCTCAGTGACAATGTCATCGAATCGCTTTTCAGTGGAATCCGGGAACTTACTCCCACTTTGTGTTCTTGCCCGCCTGGTCCTGCAGAACCCCAGGTTGCTGGACGATGTTAGCTTCCATCCCTGTGTCCGGTTCAAGCGCTGGGAATCTGAGCGCATCCTCTCCTTCATTCCTCCTGACGGCAACTTCCGCCTGCTCTCCTACCACGTCAGTGCGCAGAAGTAAGCAGCGACAAGGAGCAGACTCCGTGTCCGTGGAGCTATGTCTGCAGTGGTTTGCCCCTGGCTCCATCTCCCTGGCTTTAGGTTCCAGCTCCTGGGGTTGCTAGCTGTGTCAATGCAGTGAGCTGCTTTCCCACTCCCTCTGTTTCTTTTCTGGGGACAGTGAGTGTCTTTCTGTGAGAACACAGTGCACAGCGCCTCGCCCAGGGCAAGGGGTCTATGAGGTGCCATTAGTACTTTCTGTGGTGGTGTCTGCTAAATCAGTCTTGCTCCCTTAGTCCAGGCTGGCTTTGAACTTGCAGTCCTCCTGCTGAGCTGGCAGGTGTGGGCCAGTAACACAGCAGATGTTTTCTGTTGTTGCTGCCTTCAAAAGAAGGTTTTCCTCAGAGTATCAGCCCACCAGTATTAAATCTCTTGATGCCCAAAGGGCAGCTAATCATGCTTTGAAAGAGCGTCAAATGCTCTCAAAGGGCATTTCCTTTTCTCCAAATTTATTTATTTATTTATTTGTTTGTTTGTTTGTTTGATTTAATGTATATGAATGTTTCACTTATGTGTATGTATGTATGCATGCATGTTTGTATGTATGTATGCATGTACATTACTTGTATGCCTGTTGCCTACAGAGGTCAGAAGAAGAGGTCCGACACACTGGAAATGGAGTTATGGACAGTTGTGAGCCACCACAAGGGTGCTGGGAAACAAACCTGGTCCTTTGCCCAAACAGCCAGTGCTGCTAATCACCCAGCCATCCCTCCAACCCTGGGTGCTTTCTCTTTGAAGAGAGCGTTTTGTCTCTTTTGCAGCCTAGTTGCGATTCCAGTCTATGTCAAACATAGCATCAGCTTCCGGGACAGCAGTTCACTTGGACGCTTTGAAATCACAGTGGGACCCAAGCAGAGCATGGGAAAGACAATAGAAGGTGTGACTGTCACTAGCCAGATGCCCAAAGGAGTCCTGAACATGAGCCTCACTCCATCCCAGGGGACACACACGTTTGACCCCGTGACAAAGGTAAGGAGCTGGGCATTTGAATCACTGTCAACACAGGCTGTATACCTGGTTGGAAGGTAAGATTAGTCAAAGGGACTTGGTTCTAAAGATCTTTGACAGAGGGTTCTCTATGGAACATGTCCCCTCCGTCAGAGGTGGCTCATAGTATAGAAGGCAGATGCCTAGAGGTTAGAACTCTGAGTTCAGATGGAAGCACCGTGTGACTGTGTGGGAAAACCCACTTCTGTATGTTTTCTTCCAAGATGCTGTCTTGGGATGTAGGCAAAATAAACCCACAAAAGCTGCCAAGTTTGAAGGGGACAATGAGTCTTCAGGTTGGAGCTTCTAAACCAGATGAGAACCCCACAATTAACCTGCAGTTTAAGATCCAGCAGCTGGCTATTTCTGGTGAGTGACGTATCTAGGGTGGCTTTTAGAGGAGTGGAAATGGCTGTCTATCGCCAGGTGCAGACCTCAGCATCTCCTGGGGCTTTCTGACGATGGGTCACACTGGGTCTGGTTATATTACCCAGTATGGAATCATCAGTGAGATCTTTCCTGGTTCGGACTACTTAGAAGGTAACATAAAGACCCCAGAACATCTGGGGCCCAGAGAGAGATGGGCTGGCGGAGGCCTTCGGAGGCCACCGTTGGATCGTGCTAGAGCTGTTGACTTGAACTGCCCAAGGTTTTCAGTGTGAGGGTACTTCTCCGTTCTTCACCAGGAATGGGAAGACATAAGCCCCACAGCTCTCCAGCTTCAGCTATTTATTTGTACCGTCTTTAGTTTGACCACACTTAGCAGGGTCATAATAGATAACATTTTCTGGGTATTCGTTATGTCCCATCTACCCCTAAGCATTTTTTATTCTTGTTTAACTTTTAGAATAGCCTTCTGAAAGCCTTAGAAAGAAATGAGCTTTATCTTTAGAGAATACTCTTGGTTCTCTTTACTAAAAGACTCTTCAGCTTAGGTGATTAAAGTTAAGTGGTACGTTCTTTCTCCTAAGCCACCTAACAGGCCATAAAGTTATCGACAGAATAGCTTCAGTCTGCCAAGACTGTTTAGGGAACCTTCGCTGATCAATTCATTAATGCTGTGATCATTCATTCACTCAGTCCAATAACTTGAGCAAGACACAGTGTTGTTTGTCCGCATCCTCACTGCCATCTGCTCGACTCTCTGCCCTTTCCACTAAGAGGAGGTCTTCCCCCAGGAGAGCTGTTTGCTGACACAATCTTTGCTGCAGGTGTACGTCCCGAGATGACAGGGCCGTCTGCCTCTGCTTCACAGAATGGGCTCCCTAGAAAATCTCTTCCCTGCACCCTGCTTCTGAATTGACCCAGACCCAGACCCCTGGCTACTGCTGCTTCTGAGAGATGCTCACGTCTTACCCTCCTCTCCCTTCTTCTCTGCAGGACTCAAAGTGAACCGTCTGGATATGTACGGAGAGAAGTACAAGCCGTTTAAGGGCATAAAATACATGACCAAAGCCGGCAAGTTCCAAGTTCGAACCTGAAGGGCATGTGTTCCTTGGAGGAGCAATTACGGACATGTTTTCATTTCTTACTTGTCTAAAAGTAAAATGTCAGCCTGTTTCTTAGGTCAGTTCCCTCCAGGCTCCATCTGCTCCCTTTTGTCTTCAGTCTTCAGTGCCGTGTAACTGATCAAGGGAGAAAGGCTCATCAGGGAACGCACGGCCAAACCCAGCACAGCCCTGACTGAGCTCTAGAGAAGCGTATACTGGAGAGCCGTGCTACGTGCTGTTGTCTGTCACTACTTTTCCATGGCTGCCACGGGGTGGGGGGGATAGACCAGCACTTGCCGTTTGTTTGGTTGTAATTACCTAAATCCAGTGGAAAATGTCTCTATTGAATTTTTTTTTTAAGATAGATTTGAAAGGCAAAAAACAATTGGAAAAAATGAGTGTCAGTCGAAGAGAGACCAGTGCAGATTTGATCCATGGGTCTGGGTTGTGGCTCAGTGGTGGAGCATTGGCCTGGGTTGTGTGCAAGCCCTGGTTCGTTCCTAGCATGGCTGGCGGGATGAAACAGATCTGCTGTATGAGGGACAAGACAGAGAAGCTAATACAAAGAGAGTTGTAACAAGAGATGCTACAGAAGGACTGGCCAAAAAAGTGGTCAGAGTTTCCCCAGGGGCTACGAGGAGCAGGGTGGAATAGCTTCCCTCTGACCCTTCTCATGTATAGGAAGGACTTGCATGTCCAGGACTTCCAAAGTTCAAGTCCACACCTGACACGAAACAGCAGTGGGGTCAGTTTCCCTTGGAGACTGGAGTGCCGTGGCCTGACTTTTAGGTTCTCGCTTGGGCTTGCCCCTTGTGCTGGCCCATCGTCTTGGTGGGGAGGTTGCCAGAGCAGCTAACGGTCCCTTGCTGGGTATCTGACCCCTCGGTGGGAGCGCTCCCAAAACAGTTTGGTGCATCTACATCTTATGAATTATAAATGTGGAGTGAGATGGGGAACTCGTGTCCCACAGAAATAGACCAGGCCCACATGTGATGACCACTATTTGTGTTTGTCAGGCTGGACTGGCCCTAAGCCTTGCCCTTTCCTGTCTGAAGGTCCCCCATCAGAAGCCCCCAGTGGGCATGGGCACCCTGAAGGCATGAGTCCATGAAGCTGCCTACGGTCTGTACACTGTCATATACCTGTTGACAGCGACAGCTCCCAGTCCACGTATAAGACAAAAACAAAAACAAAAATAAAAAAGGTGTCTTAACCTTTGAGTAAAATGAGATGCCATAGAAGGGCAGGCTGTGTTTTCTGGAGTAAACCCCGAGTTTAAACCATGGCAGCTGAAGGAGCATGGCTTTCCTAACAAGTATTTCTTAAATCTGTTTCAGTGTGTCCATTACTCATTTTAGTATCTACATAAAAGGCGGGGTTTATTGTTTTAACTTGCTGCCTAGGGAGCGGCTGTGCTCTGTGTGGAGGGGGGGAGCTCCACTTCCTTCAGTCCACACAGCCCCCCCCGGCGGGGCGGGCGGCCCCCCCCCCCCCGGAGTCCTTTTTCTAAGCTTGTGCTCACTTAGTTTCGGTGCTTATTGCTTTTCTGGCTAGTTTTATCTTGCTGTGGCCAGTACTTTATTTTTGCTGCTGAGTGACGTTTCTTTGTGATTTTCTTGTGGGGTGAACCGTGCTGTGTACAATCAGCTGATTCTGACCACTCCAGTCCGGAATCTGGACTAGGGTAGCTCTGCACACCCGGTGTGGAGAGAGACACTCTGCAGACGACTTTCAGAGCATGACGTCACCTCCACAGGCTCCGCAGGATTCCAAGGCTTCTTGGGACACAGGGAACTCTTTATATCGGTCATTGAATATGTTCAGGTTCGTAAGTGCAGTTCCTTTATTCTGTCTAGCACAGGACAGCTTGTCTACCTAGAAAGGGATGGGGTTGGAGTATGGGACCTGCAGGCCTAGACATGGTGGATATGGGCAGGCCTGACTGTCCCCACCCAGTGACGGTCAGTCAGCAGACGGGTAGCGCAGAGTGTCTCAATAGCTCCCCACGCTGTGTGGTCCATGTGCAGAAGTAGTATTTCTGTTTAAGTCTTAATAAAGCTTTACCAATCTGGTCTCCGTCTGGTTATTGAGATTAACAGTTACACACCACTGTGTTTCCCCAAGTAGAAGGTGCTTGTTTGTGATATCTAAAGCCACATGTACAGTGTGACTGTCCAGTCACCCCTGGGAGACAGGTCATGTTGGGACAGGTGCTGTTAGTAAGGTTGTTACCATCCAGAGGAATCTAATCATTTTCCTGGGATAAAAAGGGCTGTTAAAGCCCTTGATGCGAGTCCGATGTTGTCTGTGTTCTTTCTCCTCGCTGCAGGAAGCAGAGCTGCAGGTCTCAGGTGTCTCTTGTAGAGTTTCTGGGGGAGACAGGCATCGAGGCTGCCTTAGCTGCTTTTTCATTGCCGCGACAAAACACCATGGCCAAGGCACCTGACAAAAGAAAATGTGTCACTGGGCTGATGTTTTCAGGGGGTTAGAATCCACGATGGCGGAGCAAAGGCCTGGCAGCAGGAAGAGCTGAGAACTTACACCCTGATCCATGAGCAGGAGTCAGAGAGTACGCTGGAAATGGTGTGGACTTTTGAAATCTTAAAGCCCACTATGAGTGACAGACTGGGCACCAAGTATCCAACTGTACAAGCCTACAGGGAGAGCGGTTTTCATTGAAACCACCACAAGGGGTCTGTTGCCGCCTGTCAACATCAGCATGTAGATGCACTTCCAAGCTGATTTTCTACCGATTTCTGCTGACTCCCTGGAAGTATGTGGTGCTTGTTAAAAGTTCAGTTTCTGTTTCTCAGAGACTTTATGGATGGCTGTGTTGGTGGGAGGAGGTGGGGGTTACATAAGCCACAGCCCGTGTGTGGCAATCAAAGGAGAACTTGTGGGAGTCAGGTCTCTCCTTCCATTCCGAGGTCGACACTCCGTCATCAGGCTTGATTGGAAGCGCCTTTACTCATGGAACCAGCTTGCTGCCCCTTCTCTGACCATTCCTTAGTACAGGACCCTCCCCGCTTTCCTAGCAACCACATTCTGAAAATATGAACTGGAAAATTCCAGGAAAGGGTAAGATTCCAAGAAATGTGTACCATCCTGAGTAGCCTGGTGAAGCCTTTAGTGGACTTCCATCCCATCCCACCCATAGACACTGTCTTTCCCTGGACACAAACCGTGCCGTGCCCAGTGGCTACACTGCTTGCTGGTCACTATTGCCTGTCTTCACTCTTAGCTGTCACAGTATCACACGCTTTGTGCTCAAGGAACCTGCACTTACAGTAGGAGTGCCGGGTGTGCGTGCGTGCGTGTGCGTGTGTGTGTGTGTGTGTATAGGTCAAAGAGAAGCCAACAAAGTTGAAAGAAAATGCTTCCTCTCAATGATAAATTCAAAGTTTCCAATGAGAAAAACAATCATCTGTGAAGTGTGCTGAGATCTCAGGAAGACGATACTTCTGACTGAAACTGTGAAGTAGGAGAAAACATGTATGCTTCTACTCTGTCACTGCCGTGCCTCAGAGGTGCGTGGCAAAGGCACCAGCGTTGTTAGGGCAAATGTGAAGAAAACCTGTGTTCCGAAGGCTGCCGTTCCTACATGCTGCGCTGAGCCTGCACCCAGACTTAGGGATTCCCCAGAACAAGAGACACCTGTCAAGTCTGGCTGATTCTACTCTGCCATTCTGGCATTGACTAATGCCTTAGTGTATCTGGTTGTAGGATACAACTTACAGGAGAAACAGACCTTGTAGGGTAGGTGCTGTCTGTCTCCAGACACCCACTGGTATCTTGGAGCATGTTCCCCCTGGAGCAGGGCTGACTGCTGTATGTATCAGTCTGGATGGTCAAGGGGCATTGGGAGCGGGAAATGTTATCGACTTATGTTTCCTTCTATGCCAGTAGATGGTGACTAGGTGCCAGCAGTACTGCTTATAGTTGTTAATGGCTTTAAAAAGGAATTTAATGAGAAACCCAAGCAGGTCTTAAATACTAAAGATCATGAGTTCGACTTTCGTATATGGAGTTGAAAGTCTGTAACACTTGTGATGTACAGGCCTGGGGGGATCAGGGAACAGGACTGCGGCTCTGTGTTCCTCTGGTCTTTAACAACCAAAACCAACCCGTACGGTTACCTGGGACCATACTTGCTCTTTGGTTCTGTTGGCCTCTTTCTTAATGAGCCAGGAATAGTGGGGCAACCTTTACTTTCCCTCTGACTCATTCCCTTCCTCTGGCGAATTCCAGACAGTGCACCCTGCATTTCCTAACCAATACTGGGCAGGCAGGGATGTGCTACTCTGACCCTTCGGTGTGATTCACATGGCTGTCTTGCTGGACGCCGCTCCGTAGGAGTCAGCAATTGTCCTCATCTGTGTATGGTTTCCAGGACTCCACTCAGGAATGTTGGGGCTTTTTGACTTTGTATTCCCATCCCAGAAGGTTTTTTGGCTCACTAACCCTAGTGCCTGAAGAAAAGCTTGCCCAGCAGGGGAGGGGTGAAGGAGCTGTGATCAGCAGACCCGAGAGCCTTGCTTACTGCTGTCTTCAAGCAACGTTTCCAAGAATGGGATGAAATGTATTTCTACCTGAGATCTTAGTTCAGAACATGAAGGCAGACTTGTGTGAGGTCAAGAAATCTGTGGCTTAGTCTCTGATTCAAGTTGATGGAACTGGTCTGGGGACGTCAGAGAATTTGGAAACCACCCAACACACCTCCCCCATCAAGTGCTTGGGCTTTGGTTAATTTATTTTGTGAGTTCAAACTATTTTTCTTTTAAGAGTCTCCAACAGGAGACTTTGTACTATGTACTTTGTACTGACAAACCCTCAAGAGATAAGAAAGACCTTTCTTCCTTAAAAAAAAAAATAATAATAAATTGACCCAGCCACACCCAAGAGCAAGCATTACATCATGAAATAGACTCTTGGAACTAAGATATGGTGAAGAAAGCTGAAGACAACGGCAGGGAGAGAGGCTGTAAGGCTGTGCAAGGGCCAGCAAGATACCAACTGCAAAGAGTGCTCACCACGCAGGCCAACCTGTGGCAGAAGGGGAGAAATGGCTTCTGGAAGTTGTCCCCTGGCCTTTACACGTGCACTATGTGTGGACACACCCTCAGGCCCTCATCACACGCGCTGAAGGAGTTACTAAAGCAGCAGGACGCAGGCAGCACACTTGTGTGCACTGGTCCGTGACCTAATCGTTTCTGAGGAGCAGAAAACAAAACAAAATGAGAAGGAAAAAAAAGCAATCCAGATAGTAGCATCTAGTGTGAGCCATCAGTTGAGGCGTTGCTATGTTAGTAAGGGATGGCTTGGGGGGTTTCTTCCCTGGGTTGCTGTAGTTACTGTCCACAAAGCCATGTAACTGTCTGCTCAGTCTGTGGTCATAGTGTGGTTGATTTTCCAGATGTATCTTCATTTATCACCTTTTGGAGCAAAACACTCATTTGGCCTTCAAGAGTCCCCAGCATCTATCTACAATCCTGCCCACGTTCAGATCAGGTTGGGGATATAGCTCAGTGGTAGAGTATGTGTTTAGCACACCCAAAGTCCTGAGTTCAATCCCCAGTCTTGTGTTTGCAGGTGCCTGAGTCCAATCCCTAGGCTCCATATGGTAGAAGCAAAGACCGACTCCCGTGGGTATCCTCTGACGTGCCCCAGGAACTCACAAACTGCCCTCCCTCCCCCACATACAATAAAGACAAACTATCGCCCATTCCCTGTATTCTACTGACTCTTTGGCTGCCGAGTCTTTGTTGTGGCAATCGTGAAACTGGGTGGGGGGGCTGTCTCAGGACTGACTGGCCTTCCTGCAGCTGCCCACTAACCCAGTGTTACCCATTGTGTGAAAACCCTTCTGAATCCTGCTTTTCCTGATGATCTTTC